ATATATAGTCTCTGCTCAACTATTCTTTAAGTCTGAAATGGTTTCCAAATTGAAGGTTAAAAAAAGTTCTGTTTTGACAAGTTATGTTTGAAATGGGTACATAATGAGGGAGAAATATTTCCTCCCTTTTTAAGAAAAGTTTTAATTCTAGATTTTTTTCTTTTGCCTCATGTATTTTGCACAAATGGATGGTATTTTCTGAATTTCTTTGCCCTCATCACCTAAATGAGATGCAACTGCATTACCTGGGAACTTGGAAGAAATTCAAATCCAAGGGCTCCACTCCGAACCTGCTGGCTCAGATTCTCTAGAGAGTGATCAGAATCTGTGTTTTATCAAGCTTTCTAGATCACTGATGATTACTACAATTTGAGAAGCACTGCTTAACACTGGATAATGATCGTTTTTTCATTGAAAACAAATAGATAGCTTTCTTTATCCTTATTTTTAAACTTTTATTGTTAGAACCTATACACAGAAAAGTATGCAAATCTTAAGGGTACAGCTCAACTAACTCACTGTTACAAAGTAAACACATCTGGGTAACCAGCACCCAGATAAGAAACAAGACACTACCTGTACCTCTGACACTATTGATTAATTTACTTGTTTTTGAACTCATGTAAATAAAATTATACAGTATGAATATCTTTCTTTGGCTTCCAGCTTCTTTTGTTCAAAAATTTCCCCCTAGGTTTACTAAGTTATAATTGATGAATAAATTTGTATATTAAGATACATAATATGATGAGTTGATGTATGCAGACATTGTGAAATGATAACCATGATCAAGCTAATTAACACATTCATCACCTCACATAGTTACCATTTCTTTTTGGTCTGGGGAGAACACTTAAGATCTATTCTCTTAGCAAATTTCATGTATTAAAAAAAACAGTATTATTAACTATAGGCTCCATGCTATACATTAGGAATACATAAATCCAATATTGACTGTGGCCAGATTTAATATGAGTTGGTTTATCTTTTTGAGAACAAGGATAGATTGTGAAGAAAAGGTTTACCTATGTAAGCAAGGTCAATGATAATACAATTGATGTGAAATCTTAGTACAGGAATTGTTACATATAGGAAACCAATAAAAACTCAATAATTGTCTAGTAAAAACAAAAGGGTGGGAGTCTGGTATGTTACAAAATTTAACTAACTTAATGTGTTAGATTTGCTTTGTAAACATAGGAAAGGCTTGGTTCTCTACTTTCTAAGCTATTCAAGGAATCTGTATAACATGGGAGTTAAATTTTTAGTTTTTGAAATCCAACATAATGTATTAAAAAAGAATGTTTACACATATTGTAATTGTAATCATTAGTAAAAGAAAATGATGCCAGAAGTTTTCTTAACCAACTTCCACTACAGTGACTCACTGGATTCAAAGGTAACTCTCTATTCTCTTTGTAAAACATACTCATGGATACCCTTGGCCATGGACATGCTGATCCCTCATGCATAGAACATCAAACCTCTAAAAAAGGAATTATGCTCCTTAACTTCAGACTATAGTACTAAGTTACAGTAATCAAAACAGTATGGTACTGGCACAAAAACAGACACATAGATCAATGTAACAGGATAGACAGCCCAGAAGTAAAACCTGCACTTATGGTCAGTTAATCTATGACCAAGGAGGCAAGAATATAAAACGGAGAAAAGACAGTCTCTTTAATAAGTGGTGCTGGGAAAACTGGACAGCTACATGTAAAAGACTGAAATTAGAACATTCTCTAACACCATATACAAAAATAAACTCAAAATGGATTAGAGACCTAAATGTAAGACCAGATACTACAAAACTCCTAGAGGAAAACATAGCCAGAACACTCTGATATGAATTGCAGCAATATTTTTTTTTGGATCTGTCTTTTAGAGTAAAGGAAATAAAAGCAAAAATAAACAAATGGGACCTAAGTAAGTTTCAAAGTTTTTGCACGGCAAAGGAAACCACTAACAAAAGGAAAGGACAACCTACTGAATGGGAGAAGATATTTGCAAATGTTATGACTGGTAAGGGATTAATATCCAACATATATAAACAGCTCATAAAACATAAAAAAAAACCCACCAAAAAAAAACCTGATTAAAAATGGGCAGAAAAATTGCATAGACATTTTCCTAAAGAACACAAATAGATGTTCAACAGGCACATGAAAAGATGCTCAGCATTGCTAATTATCAGGGAAATGCAAATCCACACCACAATGAGATATTACCTTACACTTGTCAGAATGGCTATCATCAAAAAGAAGACAAATAAGAAATGTTGCCAAGGATGTGGAGAAAAGGGAACCCTCATATACTGTTGGTGGGGATATAAATTGGTTCAGCTACTATGGAAAACATTATGGAGGTTTCTCAAAAAACTAAAAATAGAACTACCATATGACTCAACAATTCCACACCTGGGCATTGATCTGAAAAAAATCAAAAACACTAACTTGAAAAGATACATGCACCCCAATGTTCATAACACTGTTATTTACAATTTCCAAGACATGGAAGCAACTTAAGTGTCCAATAAGCAGATGAATTAATAAAGAAGATATAGTATATATATACAATGGAATACTTCTTGGCCATAAAAAAGAATGAAATTTTGCCATCTTCAGCCACATGAGTGGACTTGGAGGGCATTACACTAAGTGAAATAAGTCAGACAGAGAAAGACAAATACTGTACGATATCATATGTATGTGGAATCTAAAAAATACAACAAACTATGAATATAAAAAGAAGCAGATGCATAGATACAGTGAACAAACTAGTGATTACCATTGGGAAGGGAGGGAGGGGCACCATAGCAGCGAGGGAGTGGGACTCACAAACCACTGGGTGTAAGACAGGCTCAAAGATGTATTGTACAACAAGGGGAATACAGCCAATGTTTTGTAATAACTGTAAATGGAGTGAAACCTTAACAGCTGTGTACAAAATTAAAAAAATAAAATAGAAAAATGCTGTTGAATTTGATGACCGATTCAGGGGACAGCTCTTAAACTCCTGCTCAGAAGTGATACAAGTACCTTCCTCTCACATCTTCTTGGCCAAGGCAAGCCATCTGGTCAACCCTGATGTTGGTGCAGCAGGCACAGTACAGAAAACACTATAGTCCATAGAAAGGGGCAGGGGCAGGAGTGGGACACAGATGGCACCACTGTGTCTGGTGGCATCTCAGGAAAATACTGAAGACACCTAGTACAAACCTTTATTCCTTAACCTGATGAGTACAAATGTCTGGGAGGACGTCCACGCCCTGGAAGAAGGCCAAGCTAGACCATAAAATGCCCAAGAGGGGTGGGGGATGGGCTTAGTAGGGAAGAGTGGCAAAAATGTTAGCTAACAGTATAATCTGTGTAAATTAAAAACAATTTCACTCTCTCCAGCTTAAAACAAAACAAAACATACCGTATGCCTTCCACTGTACTATGTTTCCTCCCTTCTTTCAGTTGGCTTAAAAATATGAAAAATCTCCATTAAAATGCAATTCTTATCCACAAAGGGAGGCTCATTAGGCCAGTATCAGCCAACATTTTTATTTGATTTAATTTACTGTTTTCCAAAGTTTGAGTAACGCACCACCATTGGTACATAAGATGATATTAGTGGCACATGGATAAAATATACATTAAAATAAAAAACACATCAAAACTGCAATTTCACAGATATTATTGATTAAAATGAAAGTCATTATTTTTTTTCACTATAGAACTTCCTTAGTTTTACCATTAAAATTTTTTTTTAATTTTAAGTTTTTTATTTTAATGGCAGAACTGGGGATTGAGCCCAGGATCTCATGTGCTAAGTGTGAGCTCTACCACTGAGCTCTACCCACCTGCCCCTAAAGTAATTATTTACATATACAAAGTGAGCTATTTAAAATAAAGATATTAGGTAAATAACAGTGCAGGTGTTTCAACGAAAAAACAAAAAAAGGGAGGATGGCTGACAAATGACAAAAGTTTGTGAGACATCAATTTTATCAGATTAACTCGTTATTTTCTCACTGAAAGGGAAGGTATGGAGGGAAGACATGTCTGTACAATAGTGGGCATGAAGCTGGGAGACTTTGGCATGATTGAGTCTCTGGGTCCCTGAAGCACAAGAAAATATGTCAGCACAGGAGTCACAATAAGGGGGGCATCGAAGTTAAGGAGGACCACAGAAATGTGACATGGAGAAAAAATCCTTGTTTCTTCATATTGTGCAGAGCTGGCTTGGCTCTGGTGAGATGGTGAATAACCAGCTTCCTGGAATTTGTAGATGTCTTTGCAATTAAGACAAACACTCATTAGATTGGGATGATTTCGGTACCTGACTATTGCAAAAGCTGCCCAGACATCCCCAAAGGCATTATGGCTGTGGCAGACTGATGGATGAGAATGCAGTCACAACAGGAATCTTCTTTCTCTGCAATACCAGCTCGAGGATGGAGCAGACAATAGCCTTTCTATGGCTATCATCTTCCATCACAAGTGTTCATAACATCTTTGAAAATAAAATGCTCCAAGTTTGTGGAGGAACTGAGAGCAGCAACAAAGAGTGCCTTTGAAGCTTGTCTCTTCCAGTGCCTTACGATTCCGGGTTTCACACAAACAAAAGCTTTCATAAAGTTCTCCCAAGCCTCCCCGGAGCTGTCCTTATTACTCAGCGTGCTGAAAAATAACCTCAGCTCGGGAAGCAATCTTCTGTTTCTCACCCCCCAGGAAATGCCTCAGCTGTGAGCCTTCTGAGCTCCAGGCAGGGCAGGGGGACGTCTGACCTCCCGATGCGATGTTCGGAAGTGTGCATCGACTCCAGGGGAGAGTGTTCGTGACTTGACTGCTTTAGGCCGGTTGCTTACAAGGTTCAGTCATTGCCCCTGATAAAGAGATCTGAAAACCAAAGTTGCTCACTTGCAAATGAACTGCTCCAAATCGGCTAATGTACAGAATGCCCTTTGGAGGAATGGCATTTTTCTATCTCAAGGTCAGCAAAACTGCATAATTAGAGTTTCAGTCTTGTGAATATACTGCAAACTGCCAGGCTGGGTCAGGCTCGGCCATTAACTAGCTGTGAGCCTTAGGTGGGTACTACCCTTTCTGGACCTTGGTTTCATCATTTTAAAGTTAGAAGTTCAACCAGATAATTTATAACTGCCCTCCCACTGTAACAAGCTGTATGCCAGCACCTTTCCAAAGGTGATCATCAATTTGTTCTGGTGGGCCAGGTGTGAGAAACTGGGGCTTAGGGAAGAAAATGAAGATATTTATTTCTCACACACAGAGAGGAAGGCTTTGTGCACACCTGGCAGTAACTGTTCAAGGTCAGTCCTGTACAGGGTCATTGATCTAGCAGGCATTTACTTGTGGGCGATGAATGAATGAATGTGAACAAAACAGAAGAACAACTTTGGGTATCGGAGGGGCCTCTGA